CATCTTGTACAGCAATTAACCACTAGGAAGAATGTATGCAATGTGTTAATTATTGAAACTGTCCTACCAATTTGATTTGAAACTGTCTCATTGGTATTTGTTTCTCAATAAAATTATGGAAAAAAAAGAAAATAGTCAGAGGAAGATTTACTGTATTTTAAATACTCTGCTACTTAACAGATATTAACTACATCAAAATTGATCACGTATGTTATTATTTGCTTAGGCCACATAGTATGAATTGCTAGTAATATGAGCAAATCATTATAATTTACATCTTTTAGAACAAATATGTAATGAATTAGCAACAATTTTATCAATAATTTCCCACAATGTGTTAGCCATTACTTACCATACTGAGGCAATTTCCACATATTAACTTCCTTAAGAACTTCAGTGTATTAGACCTCTCTCAATCTTCTTGCAATTAAAGCCTATTTATAAATCTATTGTAGATATTCCTTAGAAACACTTACAACATGTTTGAAAGGTTATCCTGAGATTTTGATTGTTGCTTGAACAGGATTTGTGGCTTAGAAGACCTTCTTATTTTCACTGAAATGCATAACATTTCCTTTTGTGTCTCAATGAGAAATATAGTTCAAGTATCCATGACAATTAATAGGCTGCAGTTACTTATTATTTTATTTTGTAAATATGTCATATATGTCATTAAATAAGCAACTACCATGTATAATTAATGCATGGGTTATTTTTGTGAATCTTTTTTCTACTAAGCTCCTGGGATCATAAAATGCTTGTGTTCAGCATTTCATATTCAATTTCTCATGGCAAATAGTGGCTTATTCTATGTAACAGTAAGGAATTTTTGAAATTATTCTAATCTCTGTTTCTCACTTGAAGTATGTAAAAATATGTTTTAAGGTACTTCTCAGATTCTTTTGACATGTACATTAGCAAGCATAAAATTCAAGCTCACAGAAGAAATTTTCATGTAGTATTTATCAATCCTGATAAACATAGGTAGCTCTCACAGGCAATATGGATAGTTAGTCCTCCTGTCTCTCCTTTACCATCTTTTGAAGTAAACTTTCACCAGACATTTACATATGGAGCAAAAATGCCAATATTAAATTAATGTTCACATATTAGGCAGCATGGATTCTAGGCGAGCCTATTGCATTTGCAATTGTCTGGTTATCAATTTCATAAAAAGAATGATGGTGACTCTTATGTCCCCTATTTCTCCTTTCTTTCCAGGAGTTGGAATTTTCAAACTTATTTGCTGTCCTCCACTGCATTCACTCCTTCTTCGCTGCCAAGGTGGCCTGCTTGGACCCCCTGTTCTTAGGGAATCAGGCTACTACTTCTGCTGCTGCCAGCTCCGCCGCCACAAGCAAAGCCAAGTATCCCACTTGACGTCCTCAGTTCTGTGGAGCTCTCACCACGACTATAGAAGCAGAATAAGTACATTAGTCATTTTACACTGTGGAGAAGCCAGTTGACCAGAGAGTCACCAGTGGAATCAGAGTGAAATGTCAGCAGAGAGAAGGTCAGGAGGTCTCTTACTCACATACCCTACCCAGAAGGCATCTGTAAATTATCCTAAGTGGAAGGAGGAGCCTCTTCTCATCTGGTTGATTTGTATGTGTGCAATGCTTTCACCAAAGGTGGAAACAAAAGAATGAATGAGATGAAGAATTATGTAAATAATATAAAAATTGTAAGCTACCTATAAATAAAAATGCCAATCAAATGGTTATTTCTGTATTTTAGATTATTTTGTATGACAAGTACATATTGGGCCAGATCATGAACTAATGCCCTATCATTGATTGTATCATGAATGTAAAGAGATTTTTAAAAAAATGACAGCAAGGAGCATGCAAAAATCTCATCAAAAGGAAGCATTTTGATTTGCTGATGTGGAATTTTCCTTGCATTTTCATTTGTCCACTTCACCCTGGCACTCTAGTTTTGCTTACCTGATTGTAAAATATTCTTCGGAACTGCATAAGAATAATCACTCTGGCCTATGACAGACACATCATGAACTACATTACTTCTCCCTTGGCTCACTGTTACTAAAATGTTTTTCTAACTGCCAGTGTCAATCAAACACACCAGTAATGTGTCACCTATGAGTGATAGAAGCATTCACGTCTCTTATTCCTTTCTTCCTTCCTTCGAAACTGATTTATATTTTACCTAATTAAGTTGATTATCAAATTAAAGTTTCATATATTTTTAGGGACCCTCAGAAAACTTTTATAGAGCAAATGACATCAACAAATATTATGGTAAGAAACGGACTTTGTAACCCTATCTCTAGAAATTAATCACAAACTGACATGGCGATACCTTGTAAGCTCTCCTCAAAGCTGTATTGATGGCAGAGAACCAATTTTTCCACTTGAGTGATTTTTTTTTAGAAGTTTAGGTGAAATTTGAAAAAAAAAATTAAAAGCTCACAAGTGACGTTGCAATGCCAGCCCAGGTATTTTCCTTTAGGCTGGTGTGAGTAGACCACAGATTTGTCTTAGAGTTATGGACCTACAACTAGGAGTGCAGAAATTGAGCCGTTAGATTTGTAAAGTGGGTAAAATTCTCTGTCACTAAACCTTTATTCACATCTGCTTTACATAACCAGCTGTTAATTAAAATATTAAAAATTTAACTTTTTAAAATTGACACACATATTCCCATCTAAGCCACACACTACATTTTTCTTGTGAAGATAGGCACATGTCTAGTAAGAACTGTTTAATTTTCTTTTTTAAACAAGATGACGGGGCCGGGGAGATGGCTCAGTGGAATAAGCACTTCTCTGGCAAGCGCAAGGGCCTGAGTTCAATCCCTGGTTCCGCCAAAAACAAACAAACAAACAAAAAATAAACAAGATGAAAAGAAAATCACCTTTTAAAGGATAATTGTTCAATTAAAATTTAAAAAAATCAAAATCAGGATGTTTTCATAGCTACTACAAATTATTAATTTGTTTGCATCATATTATTTCTTAAAAAACAAAATGAATATAAAAACGAGCCATTTGTAAATTGGTCCTGGAAAACTATTAAGTTGGATCTAAGATATTTTATCAAAAACTCTGTGCCAAGTTGAATAATAAAGCTCTAATATATTTACTCTGATTATTGCTTACTGTAGGGGTCGACCACAATGGACGTAGTAAAACACAAAGCTCATCAAAAATCTGAGTCTTTAGTTCACTTCTTAATTTATGTAGAAATGGGAGAGAAAGAAAGAGGGGGCGAGAGAGAGGGCCTTCCACCCGAACACCTACCACGAGATTCTAAGCAGTGTGAGTGGGTCGAGGAAGGAGCTCTGCTGGTGAGCAGAGCTGAGTCTCAGTGTGTCCTCCATCTGGATTACACAAGCACAGCCACAGCGTGTTGCTCTTGGGGTGGAGGTGTGAAGAATAGGCTAGTTATCTAAAAGGAAAGCAAACCCTAAGTCAAAATTAATTCATAAAACTTTACAGAAGTGCTACAGAATTATTAAAACTAAATGTCAAATATTATGAAAGTTCCATTTTAAAATACAAATGTAACCTGACTTACACCCTTTTATATGTTTAAAAGTCAATCTATGCTCATACTTATGAAGACAGTCAAGATGTAAATGAGATAGATTTTAATATTTACTGCCCTGCCCAACATGTAGACACATGAAAACACATGTGCAAATGTGTGTAAATATACTAAAACACTAGTTATAAATTGTATTAAATATTTCAATACAGACCCTTAATATATTTTATTTTACATTTGCAAACCAGACCTTGAATTTGAAGGCAGAACAATACCATCATCATTGTTGTTGTTATAATTCTTATTGAAACTACTGATGCCAAACTGAAAGATCAAAGTTGCTCTTTAATGACACCACTTGGGAAAATGCTATGCTGATTTTCTTCAGTTTGGCAATTAGTAATGTTTTCTTTTGTGATGGATGGCCACCGTATTTGTTAGAATTTGCAGTACTTGAATGAGGAAATTCGGAAAAATAATCATAAATTTCTTTCTCATGAATTTAGGTTTAAATGCATGCTATTCAGTCGTCAAATCCTAGCTTCTCCATGAAGCACATTTTACCAAGAGAATACTTACTTATGTTATCGCCCGGTGGTGCCTTGGTATAAGTGTGTGCGCTGCATACAGTCACTAATGTGTCCATTACAGCAGGCGTGCTGCATACTTTAGTGGAATATTGTAAGATCTCAGTCAAAGAAGGGAGTTCAAAACTATATGAAAACTAATATAACAATATCTTTTTCCTGATATAAAATCATAAATCATTCAAACTAAAGTGTGTTAAAAGAAGGGCATTTAAAGTTTGTTACATTGTAACCAATATTTATTTCAAAATTTCTGTAATAGGTAATTTCAGTGCAATGGGTATCCCAACATTCACCATCTGACATTATTTTTAAAGGGAGAATGATCAGCTCCTCATTTCTTCTCCATGTTTGAAGCATATATCAACTTACTGCTTTAAAACCTTCACTCATAAAAAAGTCATTCAGCAAGAAGAACAATAATTACTTGGAAATAAATGGGAGCTCCTTGTTAGCAAGCCAAAAAAGTATTTTTTATGCAAGCAGAGAAATCCTCCTTTGGGTGTCTTAGTGTATAGATTCACATTTCCCTCATTTACAATGACAAAGCTTGGTCATAAACTCTATCTATGTTGAATGCTGGATTTAGAAGAAGTTTGATTTATTACTGCTGAAGAGTAATAATCCTAACAGTAATTCAGAATTACTGCTTGAAATCAGCAGTGTGGAGAAGCTTTAACTGCACAAGAGCCATCTTGTGCTTAACTCTTAAAGGTAAGTATAAATTTTCCAATATTAATGACAAACATTTTGTTACTATTAATACTGCTGTACTTATGAGCTCTCCTTAAGGAACCGCTTCATTCATACCTCTAAAATTGTTTATGGTTTATTATTATTAGTTAATATTTTAAAATCATATCACTTCTTTGCACATTAAAATTTAGTTTCTAAGATACATATTATAAATGTTATATATTTTATACATATGAAAATGAAAGAGAAATACAAGAAATATGAATTGTAAATATATTTATTTCATTTTTAATTGTTTTGGTGGATGTTTGTAAAATGTAAATTAATGTCTGTGGCAAACACTTGTCACTTCATTACTTCAGTTCATTAATCTACTACTAATATAAATGTACCTTTTATAATGAAGCATACTGGAAAATAAAAACAAGTTCTTTTTACTAATTTTCTGTGTTTTCATTTTTCTGAGTTAGATTTGCAAACCATATAGATGTTTAAAACATGTTCTCAACAGATGTAAATACAATTGAAAGGCGAGAGATGACCTGTCTCCCCTAGAGTGTTGAGCATGTGGAATGGAATGCATTCTAGCTCATCCATATGTATGATGGTTTGATATCTGACCTTTAAAAGGCCCCAAAGATTAGAGAAATGTGCTACTTGACAAATTACTTAAGCAGGCTAAAGTCACAAACTTTTGCAAGCATGACAACTTTGATATCTTTATAATGGTCCATTAGGAACTGAATCTGTACTGAAGGACCTGGGCAGAGAGGACATCGTTATCTTGTCATTAGTAACTGAGAAATAGTTCATCACTCCCAGTCTCAGAGATGACAGTTGTTTTTTCAGGCAATTATAGTGTCACAGAAGTGAGTGCTGCACAAAGTCATTACAGAACAATTCTGATATTCATGTCATTCAGTTTAATTCTAAAAAGAGGAAGCTATTGAGACAAAAGGCAGATCAGTTGTGTGCTTGGTACACGGTCTCACTAGGCAACTTGGACTCAAAGCAATCCTCCTGTTTTCAGCCTCCCCAGCACTGGGATTACAGGTGTGCACCGTCACGCCCGGACTTGGCCTCCAGCTCAGTGCGCCCTGGAAGCAGGACTGGCACAGCATGTAGGGCTGGAGATCAAACGTTCCTCCCCGCACCTGCCAGAGCAACTGCTTAGCTCACTGAGCCTTCTCACAGAGCAAGGATGTTCATGCTGGGTAATACTTTTGAGTATAAATCTGGAGGGTGGGACTTTTGCAATGTGGAAGGAAGTTTTAATGAAAAGAGTCTAGAAAAGTAGAAAAACAACCAAATTCCACCAAATATGACATATGACTATCTGTTCAGAAAAATTTAAAAGAATATACACAAAGGAATTAAAATTAATAAATGCATTTAGCTATATTCCAAAATACAGGATAAACTATATTTTATAAGTAAAGGAGGAACCATTGTCAAATGAACTGCGAAACTTACTTTCTAGACTAACACAGATGACACTATATCCAACAGAACATGTATGTAGAGGAAATCGACTAGACAAACCTAAATAGGGAAGGAACATATGCTGTTTCCATTGCTCAAAAGTGTTTGTCATTT